AATCGTTAAGACAAAAGACGTTTTTTTACCCAAACTAATTCAAATGTCTTCGAAGAGATGTTTAGAGAAGGAAGCATAGTATAGAAAACCGGCTTTTCCCCAAAGCTCTGAAGAAACACTCTTAGAGGCCAAGTAATCTTGACAGAAAAGGTTTATATATAAATGCAGGCTAGAGATGCTGGACCCACACTTGGCTGACCAGGTTTGGAGTTAAGGACCCTTTGCCTGAGAGTCTGTACATCCATCTCAAGAACATTTGTAAAGCTGAGCTTCATAATGGAAATGCTGACACAACCTGCTATCAGCAACCACGATATTAAACAGGCACAGAGCCAACAGTGCTGGCTTGAAGCCAAGGAGGAGAGATTAGCATCACAAGTAAGAGATTTTAGGCTCTGCGCCAGGAGAGGTTTTTTTTCCTTTTAATTAAAAAGTAATAAAAAGGGAGAAAGAAAGAAAAAAGGAGGAATGATGCGAAAGAGTTCTTGTTTAGCAACCCTCCTTTCGATTGTTCTGGAATATCCATATAAGCATAGACACAAACTATTGTCTGTCTGAAAACCTGGCAGTGGCTTGACCTTAAAATAATCTGCAGAAACCCTTCCAACCAGCCCCACTCTGATCTCCTTCGTGGGCCCATGTGTGGAATGGTTACGTTACCTCCAGCAGAGGGAAAATAATGACCAGCAATGCCCATTTTCCCACTTGGAGTTGGAGGACACACCATTTGGGCAAAAATTTGGGGTGCTACCTTCTTGCCTTATGGAGCTCTGAGGAAGAAATGTGCAGTGGTTGGAAGCCGGTGGTGCACGCTCCCTGGAATGATGGCACATCGTTCCAGGGAGATCTTCATCAGGAAGATCTCTTACAAGGACACTGCTTTTCTAAGAAGCTTCTCCCTTTAGATTTCAGGAGAAGGAGCCAGCTCCAGGACTTTCATGATGCAGCAGAACCAAGGGAGCCTTTTCCAAGAGAACTTTGGGACTGCGCACCCCCTAGTTCAGGGCATGGGGCACTGACCGCCCAGAGCCTGACCATCGCGGAGGGGCAGGCAGGCGGCTCTCTGCTGCCAGTAACTCTCAACACTGGGTGATGTGCCCAGTTTTCCTGCTCAGAGGTTGCCTCTGGCATTGTAGCTGCTTTCTCCAAACCAGCAATTTCTTGTGACTGTCTTTTAACCTTTTCATTTAAAAAAATTTCAAACCTACAGAGAAGTGGCAAGAATGCAACAGTGAGTCTAGAGTCGCCAACTATTAACCTTTTCCTACCTCTGCTTGGTCTCTCTCGCTCTCTCTCTCTCTCTTTCCATAAATATTAACTTATTTTTTCCCAGAACCCTTGGAGAGTAAGTTGCAGACATCATGACCCTCTTCACCCTTAAATACAATGTAAGTGTCCTAAGAACAAGAACTTTCCCTTACCTGACCGTAGTGCAATGACTAAGTTTTGGAAATTGAACATTAATGCAATGTTATTAACTGATACAGTCGTATTTACATTTTGCTAATTGTCCCAATAATGACTTTTATAGTGAACAGGACAAAACCTTCATGATTCATGTTCCATGCAGGCACACACACTGCATCTAGTTGTCGCTTTCTTTGGGCTCCTTTAATCGGGAGCAATTGCTCGGGTTTGTCTTTCGTGACACTGCCATTTTGAAAAGTACAGGCCATGTTTTGTGGCTGTTCCTCATTCTTGAGTTTTCCTATTTGTATTTTCATGAGTAGATTCAGGCTGTGTTTCTCTGGCAGGAATTCTGTATTAACGATATTGGGTCTTTGTGGACTTAAAAAATGTCCCTTCCCCAACATGTAAGGCTTCCCTGTTTAATTTTCTGGCTTTTGGGAAGACTTTGGCCTCCTTCCGTTTTCCAAGCTGTGTTCATCCCAGAGCCGGTGTTGGGGGCCAGTGGGAGGGGCCGCCCGAGGCTCAGGCTGACATGTTCTTCTAGCCCTGGAAAAGGAACAATGGCTGCCTGCTCTGAAAAGTCACCTTCAGAGACAGCAAGAAGATTCCCAGAGCAGAGGCAACAGTGGGCTTCTTCTAACCTGGCCTCTAGCTTCAGCCAACTGTTCCTAAAGCCTTCACAAACAGGCTCATTCAGAGCAGAAGTGGGTCTGATTGGATTAGGGAAAAGAGGCCGACTTCCCTGCCTCTGTTTGCCTTTTGCACCCAAGTTGCTAAGCTTGAGAATTCGATTTGGATAGCTCGGGCTTCTAAATATCACATCTATTCTATCTTCTCCATGTCAACTACTGTTGCCCTGGTTAAGGTCCTTATCTCTTTTCTACAACAGTCTCTTACTGAACCCATCTCCCACAGAGCTGCCTGAGGGGATCGACTTAGACCCCAAATCTGACAATTTCACAGTGGCTTCCATCTCCAGGATGGAATTCCATCTGGCCTCCACTTTGCCTCTGTAGTTTCCTCATTCCATATTCTCTGCTTTAAGATTATATTCCCCCCGATTATCAGATGTTTATATTGTAGAATCTTAGCTTCAGCTTCACCTGGGAACTTAATTAGCGTCTCAGACCTACTCCAGACCCACTGAACCAGAACCTGCATTTTAGCAAGTTTCCCCAAGTGATCTGTGTGCACATTGAAGTGCAAAGTGCTATTTAGAACATGCTGGAAGGGCATGTTCTGTGCAAGGATCTTCTTAAGTTGCCGCTCAGCTTCTTGTTGTCATTGGTATTGAGGCATGATTCTCCAACAATTCTTTGATCCAAGGGATTCGGCCCCAAAACTTAAACTTGGCAATAATTTTTCCTAATTTGTAAAAAGAAGGAAATTTCGTGGGTGGACTTTTTCTCAAGTTTTCTTTTTTCTCGCACAAATTTTTTCTAAACTTTGACATCTGCTACGACTTGTTGGTTAATGAGATGTCATCTGCTGGCAGGCAACAAAATGAATCAACTACTAGCAAACAAATGCTAATGTCAAAACTCCAAGTTGATGGTTTTTAGCCCAACAGTTAAGTTCAGCAGCCAAAAAAAAAAAAAAAATGAAGTGTTGAGCTTCGATTTTATACAAAATATTATAAGACTGTCTGAGAGATGCACTGATGAATGAGATAACATCAGTTGAATAGCATATTCCTCACCACTGCTGGGGCCACATATACTTATAGGGCTGGGGCACTAATGGGACCGAGGCAATGACCATCTTTTACTAGAGCCCTTGGGACGTTACTAGTTATGACTGGCAGAATTGACTGGAATGATAGACTTTTGCTGTCACCTGTCAAGGTTATTTCATCTTCCATGTCCAGGCAGCTATCCAAACTAATACAACTAGGACATTAACTCTAGCTTCTCCAGTTTGGTAAGTAAATGTATTTTAAAACAAAAATCGCAATGCGTCTATCGCCATTTGCCCGATTGGGTTTTAGCTGGGGAGATTTCAAAAGCCTGGAGCTGAAAGATAAATCGTTCAACCTTTCTTTGAGTGTTAATGATTTATGACTCTCTAATTTAACAAAAGTAGCAACAGCTGAGACAAACCACTTGCTAGAAGCAGTGTTCCTCTGGCAGTTCCATCAAGGAGCTATGCATTGGGATCTCTGGGAGCCTGAGAATTTAACCATAGCCATATGTTACCCCTCAAAATGAGTTCATATACCAAGGGTGCCAAAAACGTGTACACATTTTAATAAAGGGAAAAACTGTATTAAAATTGTATTACTCAATATATACCGATAACAAAAGGTGAATATAAGTCACATTTGACTTCTGCAGTTACAAGAGATGCTCAAAGTGGTTACCATCAGTATCCAGACGCTTCTGATTACAGTGAACTACTGCTTGAGCAACGTTGACCAAAGTGTCCACTTGTATACATTTTTTTTGACACCCCCAGTCAGCATGTGTGTGTGTGTGTGTGTATGTGTGTGTGTGTGTGTGTGTGTGTGTGTGTGTATTTGCTTTACTAAAAGGTAATCAAGAAAGGCTTGGCAGAGGCCATGACCTTGGAAGATGAATTAGTGTAACACAAGCAGATAGGGTGGGGAAAGGCCTTTAGAGCAAAAGGTGGAGTGACAGCCAGGGCTTGGAAGGTTGAAACAGTGAGTTGTTAGGAAGCCTGATGCTCAGAGGAGTGAGTGGCCATGCTTGAATCAAGGAAGAGAGGAAACAGGACATCCTAGACAGTGTGAGTTGACAGATAGAGGCCAAGTGTGTTAAGTCCATATATTTGTGTAGCGTTTTGAAATTTTCATAGCCCCTTCACACCCATTATCTCACCTGGTCCTGATGGGGCAAGACACAAGAGTGCTCACTTCCAGATGATGAAATGGAGGCTTTATGAGTTTGTAGGGCCACATAACTCCTACGTCATGGAGCCAAGACTAGATATTTTGACTCTTGGTCTATACTCTTTCCACCATAAACCGATATGTTCCGGGGTGATGAACAAACCATTCTAGCATATTGAGAAGAAAACTTCATGGGTGGGTGTATGGATAGATGGATGGATGGAGTGTGGAAACCAGAGTCTCAGGAGAAAGGAAAGTTAGGGGTCCTGCCATTGTCCAGGTGAGATAGAGAATAGAAAGTTTGTCAGGGAGATGGATTGGTGAGATATGGAGGCAGTGGAATTCATAGGACTTAGTGCCTGACCAGATATGAGAATGAGAAAAATAAGAGCCTAGGAAGACACCTAAATTTCTCCCTTAGATTAAAGGTCCACAAGAGGAGGAGCCAACTCCTTAAAACCAAAGGGGCAGGGATGGAGATGATGAATGTAGTTTTGAACATGTTAATTTTGAGTAAAACCAGATTGGTGTCCAAGAGTCAGTTGCTATCAACAGGCCTGGAATTCAGGGAAAGTGTCTGGGATATACAGATTTGTTAGGTCAATAGCAATCAAAGATTAACGTTTTATTACAGGTATTCACTGTAGTAGTATAAACAACGGGGGGAAAAAGGCAAGGTCTTAAACACTAAATGAACAGATTGGTTCATTTATGTTACAGCCATATACTGAAATGTGATTCAGACCTTAAAAATGTGTGCTGGCGCTTTTTTTTTCTCTTCCGGTCCCGGGGGTTTGGGAGCTGTGGGCTTGGGTGCAGACATGGCCAAGTCCAAGAACCACACCACGCACAACCAGTCCCGAAAATGGCACAGAAACGGCATCAAGAAACCCCGATCACAAAGATACGAATCTCTTAAGGGGGTGGACCCCAAGTTCCTGCGGAACATGCGCTTTGCCAAGAAGCACAACAAGAAGGGGCTGAAGAAGATGCAAGCCAGCAACGCCAAGGCCATGAGTGCACGGGCTGAGGCCATCAAGGCCCTCGCAAAGCCCAAGGAGGTCAAGCCCAAGATCCCCAAGGGCGGCAGCCGCAAGCTCAGTCACCTTGCCTACATCGCCCACCCCAAGCTTGGGAAACGTGCCCGTGCCCGCATTGCCAAGGGTCTCAGGCTCTGCCGGCCAAAGGCCAAGGCTCAAACCAAGGCCCCAGCCACACCTGCAGCTGCAGCTCTGCCTCCAGCTCAGGCTCCGGCTCCCAAAGGTGCCCAGGCTCCGGCTCCCAAAGGTGCCCAGGCTCCAGCTCCCAAAGGTGCCCAGGCTCCCACGAAGGCTCCAGAGTAGAGGCCTCTGTCTGCCAATGTGAGGATGGAAGGACTGGTGTGACCCTTGGGCTGCTGTCTGCATGGGGCTGGTGTCCTCCTGAGCTATTTGTGCAAATAAAGCTGAGGCAGGATCTGTCAAAAAAAAAAAAAATGTGTGCTGGCTTTCTGGTGATTACCACCACCCAATCCTGCCACCACTCATGAGACTAAACATCTAATATTAACAGGGCACTTACCGTGGTCAGGTCAAAATAAAGTGGGCTTTATCTGCTTTATGTCATTGAGGCCTCACCAGTACTCATTAAGGGAGGAACTGATAATGCTCTTACTTTATGGATGAGAAAAGTGAGATCCAGCTGTCTTCGATAGCGTACCCAGGTCACCCAGCCAAGGAGTAGAGCCTGGTCTTAACTCCAGGTCTGCTGACTCGAGTCCAGGCTCATCGCCACCATACTATATTTTCTCTCTCTACACGTTTCTCACTATATTTTCTATAACGAAGGAGTATTACAAGATGGAAAAGAGAAAAGAAAAGGTGGTTAGATTAGAATGACATGACAGACAGCTCCAAGTTGATTCACAATGGTATATTTGAGAGCTGGTCCGTCCAGGTAGGGATGACATAGCAGGCCCCTTCACGTTGGAAGAAAACAGAAAGGAGGCCCTTTCAGGGGCCTCTGGCCTAATTATGCCACCCCCTTGGGAAGAGCTCAGGAAGCCAACCCCGCCCCATCTGCTGGCCCATGTCTGTCTTACCCATGTCTGGAGAGCTCCTTCTGGAACCTTCTGCTCAATTGCCTGGGGCAGGTCCGTGGAGCTCAGCCAGGAGACCTTGGGTCGTTCCCTAACTTTGCCTTGGGAGGTATTTAGAACCAGTCTACACTGAAGGGAAAACCAAACAAAATACAACCTACCAGGAAAATGTAACAATCTGTTCCCTTACTTTGTTTTTTCTGACAGTTGATGCAATCTGTCATGAGGCTTAAGTGGTTTTGGGCTGGTGCCCATCCCATTGTTTTGCCCAGAAAGGCATGCCAGGAATGAGCTTGACGAAGGCACAAGGCTCTGAAGTACCTCAGGACACTTGTTTGCTGAACAAGGGAAGGAAACTCTGGCCTCTAGAGAGTAAGGCCGCTGGCAGCCTTCTTGTCACTCTCCTGGTGTGTGTTGATGTCTGGGTGTAGCCCCACCATCGCGCAGGCCTCAGCAAGCCAGCTCTAGCTCAGTATTTTATTCTCTGCCCTCAAGATTGAGTTAGTGGCTTCTCGGGGAAAAGCGAGTATCCGTCATTTTTCTGTGTCAGGAACTCTGCCTCTTTGTGCAAAGGATTCATTGTTTAGCCTCCAAAGCGATTTGGGGAAAGACGGGGATCAGAGTCCCCTTGATGTGGCAAACCCCAAACACTGAGGCTGTTGAGGGCTGTCTCAAAGCGCGCCTGCAAACGCTTCCGGGTTAAAAATTGATTCGTCTGCTTGAGAAAACCAGCAGTACTAGTTCCCAGAGCCTACCCTGTGAATTGAAATAAGAAGGAACTAGGAGAAATTGAAACTATTTTCAGCTCAGCCTCTGTGACTTATATTAGGAAGCATTATTGATCATACTGCGAGGAAACTGAACACTGCCTAGGTGCCAGTCTCCACACGTGCCCATGTGAAACGTTGGCCTGGTCTCATGACACAGTCTGCGTGTCCCAAGGGGCGGTGGCCTGGAGGAAGAATTCGGATTGGGGCTGCTCTGTACTGACATTAGACCAAGCTTATGAAAAGAGCCTTGTTACATAGATGCCCTGGGAACCATAACTTAGAAGCCTTTTTTGTGCCATGGGGTGAGGGTGGGGGGAGGCTTTTTAGTAAATGAATTGAGTCATAGCATTTGTGACCCCTCGGCATTGCTTTCATGTACTTTTCTCTCCTTTTCTTAATTAGTTGCCATGACCTGAAGGAGCACCTTATTAGAACATTGTTTCTCCAGCCAGAATCTTTTTCTCATCGGTCACTTTGATTCCTGTCTGTTGAATCTTCTTCCTCACCTTTCCTCTCACCCCAATGAGCCAGGGCTCGCCGTTGTTCCCTGCAGTCACTTCAGGTCATGGCACAAAATGGGTTCCCAATCGTCTGCGGATTTGCTGGAGCTCTTTCTAGACACCAATTCTGTAATAGAAAGAAGTATCCCTTCTTCCCTCAGAGGGATTGTGCTGTGAATTCACATTCAGTTTCTTATGCTCTTTACCCTGAGACCTCTGTCCCCCCCCACTTTCCAGGGCATCCCTTCCTCTTTTCTCTCTCAGTTGTTCTCATTCCTCAGGTGCACGTATCAGCAGCTTTTGATTTTGCACTTCACCGATGAGCAATGCCCTACATTATTCCTGTCCTCCTGTCTCTTCTGTACTGTTGGCATCAGGTTTCTGTCTGCTGTTTTGACTTTTCTGCAACCTTTGAGGAGGGCGGTGACAGGAAAAGGATAAATCTCTACCTTACCGTCTTGAACAGGTGTCATGAACAATTTTTTTCTTTAACTAAAGTCTGGTTTAGGAGTGAGTCTTCGTCACCAGTCTGAAGTCCACATTTAGTGTGTTCTTTCAAGTTTTCTTTTCGCTTTCTAACCCCTCTCTTCTTCCTGCACACACTTAATAACAGAACAGAAAAAAAGAAAAGCCTGAATGCCTGCATTCACGAAAGTTCAGGACAGTGAGGCCTCTCGGGAGGCCAGCTTTTCCAATTCTAGAGACTGAGAGTTTCATCTTGATCTTGAGAATGGAAGGAAGAGGTCCTTAAAAAAAAAAATGGCAGAGTTGTATCCATGTCCTAGAGCTGCCATAACTAATTACCACAAACTGGGGCCTTAAAAAAAAAATTATTCTTGCACAGTTCTGGAGGCTAGGAATCTGGAATCACAGTGTCAGTGGGGCCATGTGCCCTGAGAAGACTTTAGGGAAGAATCTTTTCTTGCTTTTTCCAGCTTCTGGTGGCTCCACAGTCCCTTGCCCTCCACAAAACCCATGGCCACTTTGCAAATCATTAGGGCATTAAAATGGAAGCATTGTTAAAACAAATATTCTGGTTCCTGTGTGCCTTCTTGCTTGATCTGTTCTTGGCTGGTATGTCTTAGTCAACTCTCCTCCCCTCCCCCACCAAGACCTCCCAAGTGCAATGAAATATAAAGTGAGAGGAGAGCAGTGGCTTAGCCAGGATGGTTTGTCCTCTTCCGAGATCAGACGTGTCCTCTTAATCACATCTGAACAGTAAAAGAAAATGACTGGTAGATTTTTCTCACAATCCCTACTGATCAACTACCCCTACCTGCATCCTTGGTAACTTGGGCAGATGGCAGGAACATAAAATCCACACAGCTGCTGAGCTTGGATTCCCCCCATCCCCCATTTATTTTTTTAATAACAGACCTTGTTTTTTAGAGCTGTTTTAGGTTCATGGAAAAATTGTGCAGCAAGTACAGAAAGTTCCCATCTAAACTTGGATCGTAAACCACAAAAGTTACCATTATAGAGAAAGGGACTGCTGAATCCCGGATTCCCAGGATGGTGGATTTCGGAACGCCGCGTACACAGTGCTCTCACCTCAGTGGGCTGTAACAAGAGAGATCACAAAATCTAGAAGCAAAACGAGAGATTACAGAATCCAGAAAGACACTGCTGTTCAAGGAAGAAGTCTGGTGTGTTGTTATGACCTCATGACTCAGCATTTGCCTTATTAACTAGGGGGCACCTCTTTTTCTCTATCCCACCCACCTCCATGTGTGCACTCTGGGAAAATCTTTTTTAAGAATGGAGTTATTAATGGCTACCTAATAGTTCATCAAATGGATTTAACATCATTTCCTTGGCCATTCTCCCATACTGGGATATTTGAGCTGTTTGCTCTCTCCCCGTCTCTTTTTTCTGACCATTACAATAATGTTGCAGTGAAAATCTTTGTGCATAAAGCTTTCCCTGTATTTAAGCTCTTAAGATAAATTCTCCAAAACTGAAGCTTACTAGGTCAAAATATATGAAGATTCTAAAGATACTTGATACTTAATGTTCATAATGCTTTACAAGAAAGGGAAAATTACTCTTTTTATTTTGGAATCTATAAGATAGTATTTACTCAGGAGATTTGCCTTTTCATTGTAGTATTGCTCAGTTCATATTAAAAGGAGTTTGTTTATTGAGTGTTCATTGCCTGGTGGGGGTGGGGGAGAAGGTGGAGGTTAGGAGAGTCAACCAATTGGCACTGAAACGCCCTGCAGATGATCCATGGGTGGGCATGTCTCTGTTAAATAACCAAAGATGGGAACATTCTTATAAGGGGATGTAGGGAACGTACCACAGTCAACTCCCAAACCCAACTCCCATCTCAGAAGGAGACAAATTCTGCCTTAGAAGCTCCCAAGGCCTAATGATGCCATCCTGACAGACCTTTGACTTGCTGTATCAACAAGATACATCTTGTCCTAAAGTTATCTCAGCAGATCTCTTACTCTACCTCAAAGAGTCGGTGGTTGGACCAGAGTTCTGGCAGCTGCTGTCGCAGCCACTGGGAAGCCCAAATGAATACTTACTTACTCTTGCCATTTTCCTTTGGGACCTGGCAAGCCTCTGACTATAACAGCGTTGGTTTAATTCTGGATCATGCCCTAAACTGGGCATAAAGATTACACTGGTTCACCCTAGCTGCGGCCTCTGATTACACCACACCATGATGCCCTCCAACCACTTCCTGGTTCCCTGCTGCCACAGCCCCTCTGCACCACCAAGTCTGCTGGCTGTGGGGTGAAGGGGCAGAGAGCCAAAGAGCAAGACCTGGGAGACTGATCTGACCCAGAGGTCAGTCAATATCACAAGACATTTCAATTAGAAAGAGTGTCGGTGGCCTTCTGGGTCCCTTAATCTCAACCTCACCGAGGCCACAGATCTCTTTGATAATCAGATGAAAGTGGCCGCTCTCTCCAGAAAAAGCACCTCCCTAAATTTTGGATACCATTCCAAATTCCAGGATGTTTCACAACTCCGTGATCCTTACCCATCTATACTAAGCCTTTATTTTGCAGACGAGACCCACAGGAGGTGCAGGGCCTGCCCTAAGGTTACACAGAGGAGATCACTGAATTCAAACTCGGGTCTCCTGATACCTGTGTAGGACCTGTCAGCCAATACCAGGTTTCCACTCCACCTTGAGCTGTATATGAGGAATTCTGGAAAGTTAGGTGCTTACAGCCAAGGAAATAGAACTGAGGCTCATGAAAGGAAACTCAGATCAGTTAATAAGCAATACTCCTGTCATAGATTCCTCTTTGGAAGGTAGAAGCTAATGCCTTCCATTAATTCCGCAGGCACTCAGGGAGCATCTAAGAGCATCTCCTCACATCTCTAGTCATTGGGAGATTAATTATTTATTGGAAATTATGACTCTTTGTAATCTCAAGCCTAAAGGGGACATGGAGGTCTTCAAAGTGATTTTTTTGTGTGTGTGGCTTTGTTCAGGTGGGGGAACCCCACCCTGAAACAGTGACTGCCAAGGTGCTTGGCATTTCATGGACTTCAATGCAATAATTAAATAGCACACTAATGAAGGAGACCAGAATTTGAACTGAAGGTGGTACCTACATAGACGCTGCTGCAGCCTCAGCTATTCAACGAGAAGAAAAGCTCCCAGTCTTTGGGGGGTTCCCAGTAACAGCTACTCAGGACATACATTTTCTAAGTAGCAGGAGGAGAACCAGATTCCAATTTCATCTTTCTGGAAAGAAGCAGCAAGCACTTTTGACTGATATTTATCTTCTCGGTTGGGTGCCAAGAGGCAGCCTTTTATCACTGGAGGAGCCTGGTGGTGAAGGCTGGAGATTCGCCCTGGATCTAACCTTCCCTGCCGACTGGCTGTGTGACCTCTGGCAAAGCTCTGGACTCCTTTGAGCCTTGGTTTCTCATGTGAAATTTGGGGATAATAACACTCTCCTCATAAAGGGTACCCAAGGCAGAGGGAGAATATATCCAAAGAAGAATCAACTGAGAAGGGGCCCCTCTCCACAGTGGGGGCTCAGACTTCATTGGAGAAGTCGTGGTTGTAGCCCATGGGATGGCAGAGATGTTTGCTGGGACCAGAACTGGTCCACAGTTGCTGGGCAGCTGAAAACAGCCCTCTGGGCGCCAATGAGATGAGGCTGATGGCAGGTGTGTAGAATCAGCACCACTGCCAATGCCAGGCCTGGGTGGCATGGTGCCAGCCTCAGGCGGGCCAGAGTGAAGGGCTGCAAGATCACCAAGCAGCTCAGCACTCTGGGCATGCAGCTGGGATGGCAGCACTGAATGTCTTTCCTGATATAGTCTGCAACAGGAGTAAAACCCAAACCAGGGAGAGAAGCCTCCTTCTTCCTGCTGTCGTCCCTCTAGTACATGGCTTAATGTACTCGCTATAAAAGAGAAGTGCTTACAGGACCCCGTCCATTATCTCAGAGCAGAGACCAAAGGGTGAATTTGGAGCTGTGAGGCAATGTGATAACTGGTGATCAAAAATGTTTGAATTAAAGTAGGAAAAGCCACATCATCTGTCACTAACTCCTTTAACCCCTGTTTATTTCCCCTTCTTTCAGTCCCATAAATTTTACCACCAATAAATGTCAAACCTCTCTAACTTCTTTTTCAATTTACTCTCTGGAAGCTCATTTCCCCCTGGGGTGTTGCATTTTGTTTTGTTTCCTTAATAAGGCACGTGTCTTTCTTCTCTTGGCATGCACTTAAAAGAGACTCATGCATAAAAGAAAGCAAGAGAAACACACAAACAGCCTGAGACCCAGGATTTCATTTCACGACTTATTTTTCCACTCAAACTTGAACTTGTTTCCCCACCGTATGTTTCATTTCAAAGCAATCCACCAGTCCCTCCCAAACACCTCAGGAGGGTCCCAAAGCACTTGACTTCAAGTGGCAGTGGAAGGAATCAGAGCTGATCCAAGAACCAATCTTTCCCTGCCTTTAAGGAAAATGCAGTGGCCACCTCAGGTCAGGCTGGGCAGTTAATTTAATCTCCTTGGACCAGTCTGAAGAATCCAGTCTCCAACCATTTTAAAAGAAAATAAGCAACAGAGCAAACAGCAGACTTGGAGGATAATTACCAACACCAATATTATTCAGAAAGCATTTGGAAAGGACGAATACTGTTTCAACTTGACAATCAAACCAAGGAGAGCATAGCATGTAAAGAGCCCTGCCATTGCTTTCCTGTGAGTGATATATTATTAATAGGCACCAATTTTGTGTCAAGACAGTGTTTTTAGTCAATCACCCACCCTGTTCTTCCAAAATATTCCATTCCTTTCTGAAGAGTCAGATTTAGTTAGTATTAACAGAAGATCCCCCTGCTGGAATTAGCTAAACAATGAAGTGGGGATACAGTTAAAACTTCCTTCAAGGATGAAGTGGTTTTTGCAAACTTAATCTATTTACCATTTTTCAAAAGTGCTGGCAAAAACATCCCTTTAGACCAGAAAAACGGCAATTGGGAAAACTAGAGGAACCTACTCTTTCCACCAACATTTTTATCTGTATATGTGGCTGTCTTACATATTTCTTTGCAAGTGATAGACAGTCTGGCCCATGAAATCTAGAGCAGACTGGCAGAAAGTCATCTGAGTATCTTTCCAAGTTCTGCTTTCTTACCACTTCAAGTACCAAGGAAACCGTGCTCTTAAACGGTCAAGGAGAATACCATGTTTACCCCCTGGGTATTGGGACTGTGGACAGTCTTTATTTTCTTCTGTTTATCTGCATTTTCTGCAATGAGCATGTGTTATTTATGAAATTAAATATATGTAAAAATTCCAATGGAAAATAAAAACCACTTTTTTTTTTCTTCTCTTAATCTTGGGCTGTATTACTGCTCTATGCCTCATAGCTAGCCAGACCTTTTTTAAGCCTCTTTCCTCCCTTTGTTCAGCTTCACTGCCAAAAATCAGCAGATGTCATTTTTGGACAAGACTTTTGGAAGAGAGATATTTCTTCATTCTTGAACTTCTAAAAACAGCCTTTTTCTTCTACCCCTCACCACGCAGTGATTGATGCTACACCTGCCTCTGATGTGACAAAACGTAGGCAATGAATCAAAGCCTCTCATGATTCTCACACACTCTGAGACAGGTCGAAAGCACTAGCCAGGGGCACTGAGCCATGTGAAGGCGCTCTGTGGGGTGTTAGTCCTCCGCAGGTATGGGTGTGCCAACCTGCGGACACCTTGAGGATATCACCTGGTATCACTAACCTTTGATGTGTTTGTTGCTCTGCCCTTTCAGATTTTTGACAGTGAAGCCAAAGACCTCGAGAGAGAAGTTTGCTTTATTGATATTGCCTGCGATGATATTCCAGAACGTTACTACAAAGAATCTGAGGTAAGCGATAGATGGGATGACATGTGGAAGAGATTTATTCATTTATTCAACAAATATTATTAAGTCCAGCCTAGCCTGGGAGACCTCCATCTGTCTTTGTGCTGATTCAATTTGGTTTCACATCTTGCTGGATTCTTAATTGTGAGTCTCAAAATTAAGTCCCTACTCCTCCAGGCCCATTAATGGCACTGCCACTCAAGTTCAATTTAGTCTTCCCGTCTCCCCAGCTCTGCCATTATTCAAAAGGCTGAACTATCCAATATATTGGCCTCTAACAAAAACAGCAGCCACCTCTGGCTTCTACACAACCTATCTCTCTGTCTGCATGCTTCCTGAGGGCGGGGGCTGTGTATCTTTATTTGCATCTTTGAGGTCTAACACAAAATGCTCCATCAGTTCCCTCTCAGTGAATATTGAACTTGGGCAGCTCATCCCAGCATGAACCTTGCTCTCAAAGCAGGAAGTGCCTTCGTGGAAGATTTTTTTCATCTTGACTGAGAATAAATTTAAGAGAATATCTTTCTCTACAGCTTCCACCCTACTAGAATCCATTGTTTGCCTCAATCCAGCCTTTTTATTTTACTGTTGGTATAAGTCATCATTTATATCCCATTAGTATTGTATTAATGGCTGCTGACAGAACTTGGGTGATCCCCTTGTAAATAACAGCCCAGCCCGGCAAGGACAGCAGATGCAGGGCTATTTTTGTTGTTTAGCAACACGCAGCCAATCACAATATGTTTGGACTCAGGGCCCCAGAGTCGTCCTTGAGCCATAATGGGTGGACCTTGAAACTCTTCTTTCAGATTCAGTAAGGCTGATTTAAGGCACAATAAATAAACCTGTGAAAAATATATTCCACCATTGCACAAACTGAGCTCCCCATGTGGTTCAGATTTTTTTTTTTTTTGCCTCCACATTTTGGGATTCGTTCAGATGTCACAGTCTGACCTGATCTTAGCAAATGCAGAGCTGCTGAATTGCAGGCGTGTGCTCTGCAGCTGGCTGTCTCTTCAAAGTTGGGAGAGGCTGATGTGAATCACTCCAGGTTCGACTCAAAGGCTGAGCTTTTTAACGTCATCCCTTTACACTGCACACGACAGCCAGCCACACTCATGAATTTTCAGGAAAACAAAGTGAAAGGCTCTCAGAGTAACTGTGGACCTGCCTAAGAGAAGGAGAAATCTGGCCTCCCCTTGCCTTGTTCTACAGGGGAGACATTTCTGTGGTTTCATATCAAGTCCACCAATTCTTATTTCGGTGATGTGGGAATCCTCATGCAACATGTTGGATGAAACTGTTGGCACATCACTTCTGTGGCTCCTGGCGTCCGGGTGGTGGAGGGCTGTCTTTCCTGGACATCCTGGCCTCTTTGGGAGCTCAGGCCTTCCAGGAAGTGAGTGTTGCCAGAAAACTGAACTAATCCCAGCTCTTCCTCTTAGATTGCTTTGGGGGGTCCTGTCTGTTACTCAGGAAGTTCCCTCCGATTCTGTGAAAAGTCTTAGGACAGATATGGAATACTAATGATGACGCCAATAAGTTTCATTTCTAGTCAACTGTGCCTGACTCATTTCCCTGTGCTCCGTGTTCCCAAGAACCACCACTGGAAAGCTTCTTTTCATTGACACAGACATTCTAGAAACTTATTCTTTGTGCTTCATAGTCGAAAATTCATTTCTCTGGGTCATGAAGTATTCTTTTCTGCATACAGTTTGACCAAGGAAATGAGAGGTGAATAGTCATTCATCCAATAAATACTTACTGAGTACTCACTGAGTGTCACATATTAAGATGGGGACATAGCACTGAGCAGAAGAGATACTGAGGGCCCCTTCCCTCAGGACACTTCCAGTCTAGCAGGAGAACCAAACAAGAAAAAAAATAACCACGTGAGGACATATGGAGTTAAAAGTCACAAGTGCCATGAAGAATCATGCAGGGAGAGATGGTGATAAGAAAACTGAATTTAAAAGGATGAGACCAGGAAAGAGGTTCTGGAAGAGATGACATGCCGAGACTCACAGGATGAAAACAGCTGGGGAATAGTGCTCCAGGTGGAGGTAACAGCATGTGTGGGAGCCCCCAGGTGACACACATGAGGAAGCAAAAGAAGACCAGCGTGGAGGCAGCAGTGGAAACCGAAGGAAGAACGACCCAAAGCGAGGTTGGGAAGGAGGATGGGGCCATGTGGATTTTATTCAAGTGTAATGGAGTGACTTTCAAGTAATTAAATCATATGATCTGATTTGAGCTTTTAAAAGATCGCTCTAGATAGAGAATGGACTGGAAAGGGGCAGAGTGAAAGGAAATCACTGAAGTCGTTGGAGTTATCCACATTATTGGCTATTTAGGTTATATAGTGGCTGGAACTGGAGAGCTGGGAGCAGATGGTTTTGAGGTTTATTCTGCTGATAGAATTGGCAGGGTTTGGCCATGGACTGGATATCAAGATGAGAGAAACGGAAGAGTCAGGATGACCTTAAGGTTTATGGCTTGGACAACAGATAGATGGGGATGAGAAGAGGAATGGATTTTAGAGAAAGATGGATGGATTTTGTGAGGCCAGTGAGACATCTAGAACAAATAGAAATGAGTCTGGAGCTTAGAAGAGAGGTCTGGCCTGGAGACAAATGTGGGAGTATCTGGCAGATAGAAGGTATTTTCAATCCTGGGGATGGATGAGAGGGAGAAAGCATGGAAGTGCAGTGGGAAAGGGGATCAGGTCCAAGTACTGAGGGATGGCAGCATTTGAAAATCAGGAAGAGAGTGAGGAGGCCCCAGGAGTGTCCAAAGAATTGGCCAGAGAGTGAGAAGGAAACCAAGGAATGCAAGTTTGAAGAGGAAGAGTGTGATCAGTCGTAGAATGAAAAACTGTCCTCTAGAAAAGTGGTTCTCAGCTGAGGGCGATCTTAACCCACAGGGACGCTTACAATGTCCCAAAGCATTTTGGGTTGTCACAACTTGGAGGATGCTACTGGTAACTAGTGTGTAGAGGCCGGGAATGCTGCTAAACGTCCTAGAATGCTCAGGACAGTCTCCACAGCAAAGGATTATGTAGCCCTAAACATCAGTAGTGCCGCGGCTGGGAAACCCTGCCCTGGAGGAGCAGATTATTGGAGATGAAAGGAACTCTGGGTTCAGCTCTCACACTCAGAGCCACCCCTCCTGTTCTGGAGCCTTAAGGTTTCTTATTTATTTATTTATTTAT